CAATATAAGGGTTATCAAACAGTTTTTATTAAGTAAATAAATATAACAACAAAAATTATCTAAACACTTGAGCAATCAATTCTTCTATTCAACCAATTTAAGACATTGAACTACTCTTTTATTAAAGGCTCAAAGGCCCTATTTTTATACCTTTTGACTTACTAGTAGGTATGATAATCGAACATTTGGATCTATGAAACTAGTAGTTTCGTTCACTAATACTATCACTACTCAGTTTCAGTGATCCATGGTTTCAATACTACAACTATTATAGGGTCTGGGTACAGTTATACTAATGGAAGTATGATCATCAAGTACTAAAAGTTAAATAATTACAAATATAGAAAATTTTATATACAATTATAGAGCTTGTACTAATTCTGAGTTTCACACAGCCTGTCACACTGCCTAGTATCACATCTTCCTCATGTTACCACTGTACATACTTTTCTTCCTATTATTGAGCTTCTGTAAAGAGTGTTACACCTTCCAACAATGTCTCTACCTCTCATTCTCTTACTACTCGAGCCTCCTCTACTAAGGCTTCAAAGTTCTCATCCAACAACTTGGCTAGAGCACAGGCAGAAATATAACTAGAGGTTAACAAATTATGTACCCCTCTAGTATAGAACAACTGATATATACATGTAGCTGGCTTTCACACATAACAGTATCCACTTTTGGTAAAGATAATACACATCTTTCTTCTAGCTTCAGATCCCCAAAATTTTTTGGCTAACCTTTCTTCAATAAAAAAATAACATTGGAGAAGGGTCAATGGGCAAGCTTTTCATTATGAGTTTGATTCCTCAAATAAAGAACTTGATCATTCCACGTGTCACCTGTAACTTCAATTAGGGATTGAGTAGGTGCATCTATTTGCCAGAGATCATCAAGGTACAAGGACATCTTGGCATTTTCAAGAGGCTCTGTAGTTACCTTTTCAGTAAAGTCAAGGGGTATGGTTTCCCCTTCTTGATCATAGCACACAATGCTATCATTAGTAATACAGATTTCAACTACCAAGGTATCTTTAATATTTCTTTGCAGTTGGTGTACTGTTTTAAGAAATTTGGAGGTAACAGTAAAAGATTTCATTGTTAAGATGAATTTTGACTTCAGGTTAAAATTCATCATATTTATAATTAAGACTGGCTTCCTTCATGAGGGAGTGAGATATATTATTTTAACCTGTTACTATGCACAGTCTTTTTAAGGACCTTTTCGATCGATCCTGGTTTGCGTTACTGGCACAGATAGTCCTCAATTTGTACACTCCATTACCAAATATGTCATGGATATAATAAGGTCCCTTAAATCATTTTTCAAGCTTAGCACTGTACAATGTTTCCAAGAAGGTTTTATGCAGCAAAACCTTGTCTTCAATCTGGTAAGTTTCTGTCCTAAACCTCCAATCGTGGTATTACTTCAGTTTTTGCTGAGAGTTTCTAACAATGATTTGTGCTTGTTGTCTAGCTAGAGTCAAGTTTCCTAGTAATGCCTCGATTCTTCTAAAGATCTGTTCTTGAAAATCTACCTCTGTACCAGGTTTAGCAGGATATGTTGAAACTACAGTTTCAACTGAAAGTAATGCGTCCCATCCATACATTAGATAGAAAGGTTTATATTGAGTCATATTGTGATGTGTTGTCCTATATGCAAACAAAGCCACAGTGATAAATTTGTCCCATTCTCTGTCATACTGCACTACACATCAGACTAGAACTTCATAGAGAGTTTTATTAAATCGTTCTACCAACCCATTAGTCTGGGGATGGTAAGCTGTCGACGTTCTGTAGTGGGTTCTCATTCTTTCGCATAGGGAACTCACCAATTTATTACAAAAATAAGTTCTCTAGTTTGATAACAATTTATAGGAGCTACCATGGTGACAAATGACATCTTCAAAAATGAATATCGCCACAGATTCAGCATCCACCCATTCTAACACACATGCTTCAGGCCACTTAGTAAGATATTCAGTGGCTACGACGATATTTTTCTTGCCACCTGAGGTCACAGGAAGGGGACCAACAATATCTATCCCCATTCGATCAAAAGGTTGACCGATTCTAATCGGGTAGAGAAGCTCTCAGGTTTTCAGTCACCCTCTATGTTGGCAAGAGTCACATAATTCTACGTATCATTTTACATTATTACCTATCTGAGGCCAAAAGTAACGAACTATAACTCTTTGATAAGTAGCAGTTTTTTCAAAATGTCCTGCTAAAGTGTCTAAATGCATTGTATGCAATACAGCCTCTGTTTCATAGGGTCTTAGTACTCTTAGAGGCCATCGTGAGTCATGTGAATTATTCTTATATAGTAATCCATCTCTAATAAAGTAATGACAGGTTAAATGCTTTATTATCTTTTCGGTGCTATTTAGTGGAACCTTATACTAGCTAAGGTAATTAACAAAATTTGTGTATGTTTCTATTTTCATAAAAGTCTGTTGTGTTAATAAGAGATTTCCGAAAGAGGTGTTCAGATATATTTGGGTGGGGTTTCTTAATTAATGGAGTTCTATACTAAATTCAGGATAGACTATTGGCGTTTAAATGAAATTTTCTAGATTTGTTGATAGTAGTAAATGAATATTCCTGCAAGGTCAGGATCCATCTGGCCAGTCGATTTTGGAGTAGTTGATATGAAAATAATGATTTTAACGCTGAATGGTCTGTGTATAGAGTAAAATGAGTCCCATGCAAATAGATGCGAAAATAAGAGACTGCCCAAAGCACTGCAAGGTACTTCTTTTCAGTGATAGCATAATTTCTTTTTGCTGCTGTCAAAGAGCGGCTCACATATGCAATTACCTGTTCTTTTGCCTCTTCATCCACTTGCAATAATATAGCTCCTAAAGCCAAGTTAGATGCATTCGTAAAGAGAATAAATAGTCGATTGAAGTCAGGATAAGCTAATATTGAAGCACTTATGAGTTTTCTCTTCAATTTCTCAAAAGCGCTCTGACATTCAAGGGTCCATTGGTATCAGGCATTCTTCTTTAATAAGGCATTAAGAGAAGCAGCAATATTCGTGAATTTAGGGACAAAATGCTTGTAATAAGAGGCTAATTCTAAAAATTTCCTTAATTGTCATAGATTCTTAAGGACAAAAAATTCTTGAACAGCCTGAATTTTACGCTAATCAGTAGAAATTCCCTCCGAACTTACAACATACCATAAAAATTTTAGTTATTTTTTCGCAAAATAACATTTTTGGAGTTTAAGTTTTAACCCGGCTCCCTTAAACAATAGAACACTTCTTCTAAATAGCTCAAGTGTTCTTCAAACGTTGCTGAATAAATATTAAGATCATCTAGATAGACAACTACAAATTTTCCAATAATGTAACAGAAAATATTATCCATCAACTATTGGCAAGTTGCAGGGGCATTTGCAAGACTGAATGGTATAACATTGAATTCGAACGTCCCATATGGAGTAATGAAAGCCATCTTGTCCTGATCTTCTTCTAATACCTCTACTTGCCAGTATCTACTGGCTAAATCTAGTGAAGTAAATCATAATGATCCATTCAAGGCATCCAAAAGTTCATCTACCCTAGGTAAAGGGTAGTTATCCTTAATCGTAACAGTGTTCAACTTCCTGTAATCCACACAAAAGTGCATTTTCTGAGCCTTCTGCTTAATAAGTACCACTGGTGATGACCAAGAACTACTAGAAGGTCGAATGATGCCTTTTTTTAACATAGAAGCAATTTCTTCCTTAAGAAATTGCTTTTCAGCTAGTGAATACCTATAAGGATGTTGTTTAATTGGCCTACAGCCATAAGTAAGAATCTCATGATAAGTTCAAATTGTATATTCTAGTTCTCCTAGATTTTGGGCGCAGAGGTCGACATTCTCTACAAGGAGTTGGGTCAATCATTGCTCTTAATCTGTTTCCAATTCTCCTATCTGGTATTTGACCTCCATTTTTATAGCAGTAATCAAAAAGATCTGCTATACATTGACCTTCTTCTTTTTGAACCATATAACATGTAATCCCAGGTTGATCCATTCATTGATCACCTATTTGTTCCTTTTTATGACAGTCTTTCCCTAACCTATTGTCATTGTATTCAGTATTATCATCCTATTCATCAAATTCGGATAACATATAAATTGATTCCTCCAATTCTTCTTCTTCATATTCATTATCTACTTCTTCCTGATCATCTTCCTCATTTTCGTATATTATTTCTTTAACTAGCACTATCTTTTCTTTTTCTAATAGGGCTTTTGTCATCTTCCGAAACTCAACTAGCACTATAATCTCCTTACTATCCCAATAGATAGTTATATCAGATGAGTTCCAGTTGATGGCGACATTAACTTTAGCAAGCCAATCATTACCAATAATGGCACAGTAAGATATTGCATCAGTGATGATAACACAATGGGGATTTCTATTCCACCTACAGAAAAAGGGAAGTTAGAAATTTTTCCTATCGCATGTTTACTTTCTTCATGAATATTAATCATATTCACTACTGATGGGTGCTCAATTCTTATGCTCAATTTTTTAACAGGTGTGAAGGACAATGCTTCCTGAGAATCTACTATTCACTATTAGTGGAATATCCTTATCACAGATCCTGGCATCACAATACAAGGCCATCGATTTCAAGGTGGGCTGTAAATTAACATTACTCTGGACCTTCTTTCTTGTAACAGTTCTCTTCTTCTGTAAGGAACGAGCTAATTCATGGTGCATATTTCGAGATGCCCTTAATAATTGTCTATAAGTGATATTAGCTAGTTTATCCCTAATATCGGTGACAATTGAATATAGAGGAACCAAAGAAGAAATTTGGGACAACTCTTTTTCAATAACTTTTTGTCTTAGTCCAACATTCTTCTTCTGTCAAACCTTGGAGACTTTGTCATCCTCATTCTCTTTCTTTTTCTCCTTAATAAACTTATGAATTATTTCTTGAACATTATCATCTATGTCCTCAATCTCATTTCTATTATCCATATTGGCATCTTGAGGTGGAATTTCTTCAGTTTCGCCTAACCCTACGGTATCCTCTCTTCCTTTAACATTTTTTTTTTCTGCAATAACACAGTATTCATGATGGGCCTTTTTCATTCATGTTGTTCTGTTGGAAGAAATAGGGGCTCATCTTCCTCATGAATCCCTAAATATGTAGGCTGGTTATTTTGGGGACTATTGGGGGTTAGATTATTCAACAATGTGAACAAAGACTATAAGGTCTCTTGGGCATTCACATTGTTTGTATTATTTACAGGTGGTTGTTGAACAGGTGGATTGGGATTATTGTTATTATTATTCTGAGAATTAAGATGCTGCCGACTAATATGTTCAGGTCATCTGCAAGTAAAACAAATTATCCCTGGATTCGTGTTAGGACTGCTCTGTCATGGTTACTATGGTCTCCTTTGATCTTGATACTGAGTTATTATTTTATTGATAGCCTCTGTTAGCTTAAGTAGAGCCTCTTCTGTTTTATTATGGTTCGTTTGAGGGGCAACTGGAGTACCAACCATTCCTTGTAGTAAATATGTTGAATATTCTATAGGTTGGGTCATAAAAGCTGTATGCATCAGATTATTCCTATACATATTTTCAAAGGCTTTGCTCTAGCATAGGCATCTTCTAACGTATTAGGGGTTAATGGAGACACTGTTATATAGAGTTCAGGACACAATCTATTGATAAACATTTGGGCCTTCGCAGTATTAGGATATTGGTGTTCTCCTGATTCAACTCTTCTAATCATCTCTTCAATGGATATATGGTAATCATCAATGGTTTTTCCAGATAATTGTTTTCATTGAGTCAATTGAGTGAACCATTTGGCTTCCAATTCAGGTGTTCAGAATTTAGTGATAAAATTAGATGTAAAACTTGAAGCTGGGACATTGGGATCATGCCATCGATTAATAACAGGATGTTGTATCCTTCATGTAACCCACCAATTCGCCACTGGTTCCCTCAATTTTGGAACTATTACTGAAATCTTTTGATTTTTAGGAATCATGTTTGCATCGAATGCTTTCTCTATATCTTCAAGCCATGTAATTGGGTCTTGATCACCTCCATAGAAATCTTGATAAAGGATAGTACTTAATTCTCAGTTGGTTCCAGGAACATTTACTTGTACAGGTGATGCACCTTGTAATTGCTGTACTAAGGCAGCAATCTGTGTTGCTAATGCCTGCATTGGACCTTGAGCCATTTACAGTACTATCTAAAAATAAAATGTTTATTAATTCATTCTACACAATTGACACCAAATGTTACTATTGTTTGGGAGAGCTATAGCAATATTTCGTCCAATTTAACTCCAATAGTGAACTTAAATAAAAAGTTAGTATGACTAGGGTAATATAGTACTATTGGTAGGGTGGCTTGTTCATATGGATTGATAATATATCAGGATTGGTTAACTAATTTTATGTAGGATCAGATTATAAATCAATTTAAGTGATTGTCACTCTTATGTAATAATTTAATTTATTGGATCAATTTAATAACATAACTGATGTAATTAATAAAAGAGTAATTAATTTAAAGTTTATGTATAATGATTACGATACTTTGAAGTAATAGGGATTTTAACAGATTTTACAATATAAGGGTTATCAAACAGTTTTTATTAAGTAAATAAATATAACAACAAAAATTATCTAAACACTTGAGCAATCGATTCTTCTATTCAACCAATTTAAGACATCGAACTACTCTTTTATTAAAGTCTTGAAGACCTACTTTTATACCTTTTGACTTACTAGTAGGTACGATAATCGAATATTTGGATCTATGAAACTAGTAGTTTCACTTACTAATACTATTGCTACTCAGTTTCAGTAATCCATGGTTTCAATACTATAACTATTACAGGGTCTAAGTACAGTTATACTAATGGGGGTATGATCATCGATTACTAAAAGGTAAATAATTACAAATATAGAAAATTTTATATACAATTATAGGGCTTGTACTGATTCTGAGTTTTACATAGCCTGTTGCACTGCCTAGTATCACACCTTTCTTATGTTACCACTGTAACAATAGCATAACCGATAGGTAGACAGATATTAGAGTTAGGATGTAGTTAGTCAGATAACCACATAGACAAGAATAAGTATAATTTTTGCAATTAGAATTTCTTTTGTTATTTTGATTTGATTAAAATGAGGGTCTGGTATAGGGTGGTTTAAGTCCTTATTATTATTTTCAGTTAGCAAAGTTTATACAATATGGTTTCCATATTTGTTCATAAGAAAGTTCATTGACTTTAAACAGAATAACAATAATTGTTTGTAAGACTAGTTTGTATGAGATATTAAAGTTTTGTACAATCTCAATTAGAGATTTAGGAATAAATTCTTTGAGTGTGATATCAAGATAGTGTTGATTAGTTTGAAGAGGTATAGAGTAAAAGGCATAGTAGTTACTGATTTTATAAATAAGTTCTTCTCATTAGTTTGTAGATAAATCAAGATCTGTATGATTAATGTATTCGGTCAATGTAGAGTATTGTTTATAGACATCTGAAATAGTGTGTTTCTTTTTTATCTGATTGGTTATTATAATTTGTAACTTCATTTTGTGATATCTAGATTTTTACTTATAAGCTTTTGTCTATTAATATATGATAAAAAAAAATGAATTAGATGTTTGTAATCAGATAATTATTTTTTTTAGCTTATTAAATAATATTAATTTTTCTATTTATTATCTTGGCTTTTAGTCTCATTATATATTTATTAAATTATTCTTGATTTTATCTATTTTTATTTGCTGTTTTAACTGTATTATTATATTATATAAAAGCAAAGCTATTATTATGATGTTTGTATAATTTTATATATTTTTAAAAAAGTTAAATATGATGTTGTTAACATTAAGAGTTTTACACATTTTTGATCATAACTTTTGATGTACTAAACCAATTTGGATGAAACAAC